GGGTCTGTGGGCAGAGCTGGTCCGGGGCTGAGGCGTTCAGGACCCTCGCTCGCTGTGGGCAGGGCTGGTCCCGGGCTGAGGCGTTAAGGACCCTCTCTTGCTCGTCTGTGGGTCTGTGGGGCAGGGCTGGTCCCGGGCTGAGGCGTTAAGGACCCTCGCTCAGTGTGGGCAGGGCTGGTCCCGGGCTGAGGTGTTCAGGACCCTCGCTCGCTCGTCTGTGGGTCTGTGGTGCAGAGGCCCCTCTCGATGGCCTCAGAGCCCGCTGGCAGGGCGCACGTTAGGAAACTGTCAGCGATCGGGGGAGTGCACTGCGCTTGGCTTGTTTACTTAGTGCCTTTCCCCGTCCAGAGACACTCCTGTTTTTTACTTTTGTTCTGTGTTTTTAACTTTGAGCCATTCCCCATGAATGCAATCCCAGACTGGAGTTGCCACTTGGGATCTTACATTTCAGGAATGTCCGCAAACGTATTCCGGCACCCCCTGCCCCCACGCTGCCTTTACTAGAGAGAGGGGGGGAGAGGGGGGTCCGTCTGTGCTGTTTTCTTTCTTCTCTGGGGCTCCCGGGGCTGAGAGATGAATCACAGATTCTCCAGATAAATTATTGCCATTCTTTCAGGGACCAAGGAGAGCCCCCACACCCCACCCCTCCTCTTCCCTAACTCTCCTCTCTGCCAGCTGGCACAGCCAGGGGGACCGGCCTGGTATATTGATTAACTCACAGGGAGCCAGAGCTCTCTCAAGCTTCGTCCCCCAGCTCACGAGAACGAGGGTGGCTTTGCTCTGACCCAGATTCTCCCTCTTCCGCGCCAAGAGCCGGGATCTGGACAGTGTGCAGACCAGGCAGCTTCGAACCACAATGTGTGTGCGAGGTTAGGTCACTGGGTCTTACGACAACTGCATTACCACATACTGAGCAGATTTTACTCCCGTCTAGAAACACTGGGATGCAAATCAGATTCCCATTCTGTGTTTAACATTGGAATTTACCTCCATTTCACATTTTGCGAGCTGCCCATTCCTGTGTAAAGAGCAGAAACGAAGAAGGAAAGCAATGTGACAGATGTTACTTCCACGTGTCTTGTTAAACTGACTCCAAATAAACACACACATTGATCTATGCACTGTACATTACCCTGAGCAGCTGGTAAAGCCTGGAGTGGATCTCCCTGCTCTGCAGTGGGAGTCCTAGGTGTTTCTTGGCTTACTTTCTGAAACTCCACTGCTGTATTTGTGGATTTTCTCCAGACTTGCTCCCCAGCTATCTTTCACTGAACTACAGCTTCACTTACTTTTCATTTGCCCATAATTGGTAGGATCCTTTACCACACCTCTCAATGACAGGTATGCCGAAAAACGTGTGGAATTTAGGAATCTAGGGAAGGCATAAAAACAGCTATATTTCTTCAGTCTAAAACAATAGTTTAGACTCCATAGTCTAAAACAATGGAGAGCCAGTTGGAGATTTGATCCAACTGTATAAGCTCTTAGAGTATAGTCAGGACACCGCCTGTTTACCATATAATCGGTTCACAATTGCAGACTAAACAGGAATGCATGTGGGATGGACAATAGGAAATGCTTCTTTACACAAAGAGTTGTGGGTGTCTGAAACAGGCTTCCTAGCCAGGTGGTTGAGACCTAATCTCCGGATTCTTTCCGTATGAATTAGCTGTTAAATGACCTCTCCTCTGCAGCTTCTCCTGTTCAAATGCTGCGGGATTCACTGTGTTCCACATCACATCGCTTATACCACATCACACTAATACCGCAGCAATACTGCAGTAAGTGTTTACTGGGACTGCCTGTTGACAGGAATGTGAAAGCTGGATACAGTCACTCCAGGCTTTGTTCTGTCCTATAAAATGTGCTTTTGTACCGTAGCTTGTCAGAATTGTAGACTATTTTCAGACTCTGTTTCTGTGGTTGTGGTTGTGTGGGTGCTCTGCCAATGTGCTCTGGGATGATAACGACAGCACATGCAGGACAGCGATCCACACCCGGACCCAGCAGTCTCATCTGTGTTCCTCATCGCAGCCCGGCCAGGTCTGCAGAAGGGCAGCGCGGGGATCCAAAGGGTAGCAGACCGTGCTTGCATTGCCGAGGCAGGCGCAGGGCTTGAGAAAAGGGGAACACTATAATAATAAACTATTTTATATAGTTCCTTTCAAGATGGCTTCTCAAAGCGCTTTACTGAACGACAACAGCAATACAAAAATAAAAATACAAAAAAATAGAATGAAAATACAAAACATGCACAATGAGGATACACTATGAGAGGAAGTCCTGAATACAGCTGGAGCAGAGGGGTAAAGAACAGAACCAGTTAAGTAAAGGAATCAGAACAATTCCACAAAGAATGTTTGATTTTATCGAAGGCTTTGGCATGGTTGATCCTTCAGATTTCTACAAAACGAACAGCAAACCAAAAACAAAAAGAAGGGGAATTTAATGGGGGAATGCATTTAATTCTGAAAACAGAAGACACACTTCTCTACGCAAAGAGAGGTAGGGGTCTGGAACGAACTACCCAGCCCCAGCCATGGGGTCAAAGCTAATACGCTAGCTCTGGGGTGTGCAGTCCTTGATCTGAGGGAATGACACATCAGTGTGTTTTCTTTAAAGCATCAGCAGCAGAAAGTTGTAAACCAGTCTGAATAAGCCAGTAATGAGCTGATTTCGCGGGTTAACAGCCGGTCTGGAGTGAAATTCCTGCAGGACCACAGCTGACTGTGCCTGCACAGTCTGCTTTCAAAACACACACACAAGGAGATCCTTAGATCAATGATTTCCTAAGAACCAACCAAACCAGTTGGGCCAATTTTGACATTTTTGACTCCTTACAATTCTTCTTTTGAAGTTAAAGGCTTTATGTCTCTGCCAGGGAAAACACCTTCTGTGACAGCAGGATTGAAAAAGTACATTGTTCCAAAAAGATTCAATTCATTTAGTTTGGGATAATTACATAATGATGTCCATAATTATAACAATTATTACGTCTGTTACACCGTGGCAGAGGCACAGAAAGGTGAAATTCCTATAGATATTGAGCACCAAACCGAATTTTAAAATTCCTGATGAGTTATTGTTGTAGTTATTATGAAGCAAGATCTGTTCCGACTGACACGCCTCCGAGGAAACCAAATTAAATTTCTAGAACAGATCCACAATGGAAAGGTCTGTTCCAGTCTCGACCACAAGGGGGCTTCATTTACCGAGTGCATACCTGATCTGCTCATCGGAAAAAAGCTCTGGAGAACTTGAAAAGGGTTATTTTGATTCCACAGTCCGAGCTTGTGGAAATATCCTACTGAAAGATACATTTTGCACGCAAGAAAACCGGGCTGCGGATCCGTGTAATACGTCAATAAATACAGGAGAGGGATCGAGAGAGGGTCTAGCGTCTTACAAACTTTGGATAGAAAGCGAGAGGTGAGGAATCAAACAGTGAATAAAATACCTCGTAGTAGTGTAAGTGTGTGTGCGCGGCAGATAACCGAATTGGTTTTGAAGCAAGAGGAGTCTTTCTCGTTGTAAAGGGTTTCTCTTACGAGCCGCCGGGGGAGGTCTCGGTCCGGCCACGCCCCCCTGGGCACCGCTCCCGTCCACGTGCCCATTGGCACGCGAGTGCCGTCCGGCTGTTCTCTTCGCACCTCGTGCTTCAACACCCACCCCTCCGTTTCTGCAGCCAGGCCAGCCCGGGAGGCGACGGAGACAGCTCTGTGTTCCCTCAGGGCGCACTTTCTGCTGCACCGTGAGAAAATACTCTGGAATAACACAAACATTTTCCCCTAAAATAACAAATCTAATCCCAGAATTTCCACTCCTGCCAGAATCAGTACAGCTCCCAATCCTACTGGGAGAGGGGGGGAGGGAACTCAATTGAGCTGGTAGCAGACAGTGAGCTTTTCTAGTAACAATTTTTCATGTATAAAGTGATCTCTGTAAAAGTTCAATAGCGTGTTTAAACTGTAAAATGTGCTGCGTTAATTGTATCTACTTTGGCGACCCTGTAACTCAGTGGTCATGCCAATAAAGCTCTCTGAAAAATAAAGTGGGCGACAGTCTAACCCCACCCTTCCTCGTGGAGACAGGTGTCGTTGTTACAATGGGCGTGGTTAACCTCCTCCTCCTCCAACAACAACAGCAGCACGGCAGAAAAGACAAGAATGATCAACAATATATAGATGGAGATATTACTGATCCCCTTATAGAACTTCCAGATGGAAAATGACATCATAATTCAATATGGCAAGAGTGACTCCCACTGCTCCACACCCGCTGGATGTACAGTATATCAGTGCCCTGGCCCGCTTCCAGCTCTTAAATTACTTACCAGTGGAAATTACTGGAAAAGGCCTGGATCCAATCAGCGAACTGCAGGGCAGTACATCTCAATTAAGAGCGGGGCAGGCTGTGTGGGCCTCATTAGTTTAATTTTCATTTGATTAGTCATCACAGCCATGCATCTCTGCCAGCCACAGACTGCGGGGTTTTTTTTTGCTCACATGGTTCTCCAACGCGTACGGAATCCAGAGAAGAAAAGCGATGAGTGAAGGTTCTGTCACTGAAGGACAGACACGATGCTTCTGCCTGCGGATCCCGTATTGCTGCTTTCCCACTCAGATTTCTGGAGTTGACCCACTCTGTGCTTCCACCTTACCGTATCTCTCCAGAAGAGGGCGCCACAGAGCACAGGTTCAGTGCCACAGACACCTGGCTAGAGGGTCATGGGCCCAGTCCTCACTGCAGAGACTGAGGCTGTATCCTTGAGTGTGCAGTGTGCAGCTGTGCCCCAGCTGATCCAGTGCCCCCCCCCGCTATGTAAACTGGTACCAGCAGAGCTTGAAGCAGGGGGAGCCCTGTGATGAGACCAGTATGTGATTCAGAGAGCCATGGGCTCCCAGTTCACTGCACACCAAGGACAGGGAAAGAAATGCCAGGACAGTGAACAACCTGGCTTAAGAATAAACTTCTTGCCTTTCCAGAAAGAAAAACAGACTCATACTGTACTCACTCACAACAGTACTATCAATGACACAACAGTCCCTTTGTTAATATATAGAGCCATTCTCAAAGCAATTTACAATTAAACAATCCGAAGAGATAGGAATAGACTAATTAATACAGAAAATGTAATCATGTCACTTACAACCCTGTCTGATATCCGTCTTTGTCTGGGGGAGACGGGGGTGTTGTTGTTAGCCTGTATATTACGATTCATTCCAGGAGTTCTGCTGAAAATAGAACCACAATTCTATTCCCTGTGTCCTTGGACTTCAGCTGAGGACAGCAGTATCTTGGCAGAACGTGTGCCGTTTTTAGTCAGGATTGTGTCTGTTTCTCCTCGGGCTCGGCGTCCATCGCAGTTCCCAGCTGGGGTGGCGACCTGCGCACTGTCCTGTCCTGCGTGACTGCCCAGATCTCCTTCTGCTGAGGAAAACAGACACTGGAGTGAGACTCCACCCCAGCCCACATCTACTTGCTTTGTGTTAGTCTGTTTCAGCACAGAGGCATCTTCGCATGTTGCACGGCTACACAATCTGCAGACTAGAACTGAAAAATGGTCTAAGACATGTGCAGCTGAAAAGATACGTATTGCAACCTACTAATAATAATCTGAAATCCAGACTATTTGCAAACTAAATGAGTGCAATGAATAGCAACGATTAGACTATTGCCAGTGCTACGTCACTGTATTGGATGTGTTCATCTTCCTGAGTGGCCCACTGCAGGCAGCAGACAAGCACAACACAAGCAGGGCATTCTTCCCAGGGCCAGGCATGAAGCAACGAGCTGGGGAAGCATTTCAGGGATGCACAGGTATCAGCACCTTTGTGCAGCTCTAATTTCCTTCCCCGCCGTGTTTCCTGGCAGGTGCAGCTGGAGAAACGTCCCCCTGCTGTAACCCTGGGCAAAATTCATCCTGCCAGCCATATTCTAACCGGCTCCTCCATTTCAGAGTCATGGGGGACCCAGAGCCTAGCCGACAAACAAGGGGCGCAAGGCGGGGTACACTCTGGACGGGGTTGCCAGTCCATCACAGGGCACACACAGACACAGGTATGCACACACACACACACACACACTCACACCAGCGTCAATTGTCCCAGAAGCCAGTTAACGTGCCAGCCTGTGGACTGTGGGAGGAAGCCCAGAGAAACGCAGGGAGAACATACAAGGGAACTGAAATAGCCAGGGGAAATTGTGGTGGGGGGGATCAGAGGCAAAGTCATGTCAACCCTGAGGCCCCCCCGAGGGTAAGGCTGTCTGAGACTTCTGGGTGAAGTTTTCGGCCTGTGGGGGGGAGGAGGATCGGTCCCTTATCCTTGAGAAGTCCACAAAAAACAGCAATGCCGTGTCAGACGAGCCACGTCACCGTTGCTGCGGAACTCCAGCAAAAATCGGTTCTGAATCAAATTAAATCTAATTTGAAAGGGTCAGGCGGAGAGGGGCAGCGATGTCAGAGAGCAGTGACTCAGGGCTCACCGTCATGCAGGCCCAGGGTCAGCGCAAGATTGAGACGTTCCCTTCCGTGAGATCCTTCATCTGCGTCCCGATGAGCCAGAGACCTGGAAGAAAAGAGCGCACCCGAGCGAACAGCTCCCCCACAGAGGCGTCGTGCCGAGCTCCTCGTCGGCCCCCTCCTTCGCGGGCAGGACCGCGGCTCTGTGTGGGCTCAGGTGCGACAGGGAGATGGGTTAATTAGCCTCGTTTCAGGGGCTGCGCGCTGATGAATTGCAAATGGAGAAGGAGGGAGCGCGCTTTTGAAAGAATTCCCCGAACTGCTTTGAAAACACTCAGCCAGGCAGGCGCTCGTCAAGGAGATCGCTTTGTCCTGTAGAACACGGCAAGTTACACAAGGAGAAGCGGAGATGGAAGAGAGAATAGAAGCTCCTGTTTGCTCTGCTGCGGTTCCGGAGAGCCAAAGGGCCCAGGTGTTGGATGTTCGGTTCCTCAAGGTATGGAGCAACTCGAACACTCGGGCCAGTTCCAGGAGGTCATTTGGAGTGAAGGCTCTGGAACTGACTTACGGGCACGCGGGCTTTTCCAACTGAAATGCAACAGCCTGCTTTCCTTGAAAGGTCTGATACGTTTGTAACCTTGGGTTGATCCTAGAAAAAGAGGTTGTGCTTCTCCGCTTAGCAAACTGTCCCGTCTTCATTCAGCTCCACTGAAGCTAAAATACTGACTCATAGTATTATGCTGTAGAATTACTGTAGTAAAATCCATACAAAGTGGCTCGGTGGTGCAGTGGCCAGCATTGCTGTCTCGCAGCTGGGTTCATTTCCTGGGGTGCTGTCTGTGTGGAGTTTGCATGTTCTCCCTGTGCTCAAATGAGTTTCCTCCAGGTGCTCCAGTTTCCTCCCACAGTCCAAAGACATGCTGGCAGGTTAATTGGCTGCTGGGAAATTTGACCCTGGTGTGGGTGTGTGTATCAATGTCTGCTCTGTGATGGACTGGTGTCCCGTACCAGGCACATCCTGCCTTGCACCCATTGCATGCTGAGATAGACTCTGCAACCCTGTACTGGATAAAGTGGTGAGAAAGTGGTTGGACAGTCCCTACTACAGATGCACTACTCAGAGCCTAAGAGTTGTGGTTCTAGAATCAATTAAACAATTAAGGATCAATCAGGCAACTAAAGGTCACCCAATGCAGCTGGGCTCGAAAGAGACCGAGAAATGAAATTCTTCTTGTAGACACCATTCCAGTGAGCCCTTAATGTGATCCTTAATGCAGATTATAATGCTCCATTTCTGGGAACTGCTCTGTCCAGATTCCCATCTCTCCTGTCCGTGGCTCCAGCAGGTGCTTCAGAGTTTTGGATATGAAGGCCCCTCCCCCTCCCCAATTAAGGACCACGCCTCCTCCAGAGTGAACAGCCCCGCCCTTCTCCCAAGGGCGCGCGGAGAGCGTGAGATTTACCGCAGGTCACCGGGTGAAACTTGGCCCGGATGTCCCCTTTAGTCTAAAGAGAGTGTCCTGCACTGACAGCATGTAGGAGAATCCGCTCTGCTCTGCCCTGTTACACCCTCCCGAGACTTCTTCAGGGTCTGTAAGGTCTGCAGGCGGCTGAAGATCTGTTTGAAGTGCTCTTCAAGCTGGGCAGGTGATGCATTGCCCGGTTTCCAAAGCCTGCAGTGGTGCAGGCCCAGACACACACGCGCAGGCGATCCCTCTCTCTCCCGCTGTCGTCCATCTTTGTCCCGGAACGGTACGATGTCGCCTGGTGCACTTGACCGGCAGGCTTGCAAAACCTCTCTCCAGCACCAGCACAAATACGGACAGCAGGACCGCGTTCAGACACAGGTGTGTGTTAGTCTCACCTCTCCGCTCCATTAAGCTGATGAATAGCAATTTCCATCCACCCAGCCTTTTATTTTCTGTGCTAAATCAGTACAAACAGTAGGAAATCTGGAGAACACATTGTAAAAGATTCTAAAGACCCGAAAGCGAAACTTGGGCACAGGAGCCACTCAGATCACATCACATCACTGTCAATAAATACTTATCCATTTCAGGGTCCCGGTGACTCAGAGTCTGTCCTGGAAAGCACTGAGTACACAGCAGGATACACCCTGGACAGGACGCCCGTCTATCTCAGGACACACACAGACACTCACACACTCACACC